TCTTTTAAACATTTGTACAGAATAGCATGCAAAGTTACAGTAAAATAAAAAAAAATAGAAACTTAACTATTATTAAAAGATCTCTGAAAATTTATCTTAATTACAATAATAACAAATTTCTTAGTTTCCTCTTCAAGGAGGTTCTGCTGATTATCGAACTAAAAATACTAACGAATCGTTAAAAGTGTTTAGGAAACCGGGCATTAGTTACATACATTGATAATACCTATCTAAGACGTGCTATTCAATTCAAATAGGTTACAATACTTAATAGAGCGAGACATAAATACATACATTATCTTCTGATATATCGCTTTATGTGTTAGACCCAATCAAATAGACAATCAGATCTTCAAACATATTCATATTGAAATATTCATCCTATAATCGAATTGCTGTAACCAGATGTTAATAAGACACAAAGGACCGGCTGATATAGACTCAGATATCTTAAAAATTACGTCACTGTCTGATAAGGGAACAAAATCCGATATTTCAATCAGATATTTTACACGTTGGATTGTAATCAGACAATTTACAATTTGGTAGGACAAACGCTTAGTAACTATCAACCAATTGCCCCTTATTATATTAATACAGTTTCCCCGAGTATTAGTTCAAAAGATAATTTTTGTATACTAAGATTATGTCTAAAGGTGCGCTTCTATTGTTCCGGAACACAACGCAAGACTATTGAAATAGATGAGATATTTTTACAACTACAAATACTTTTTGTTACGCTCCAGTAAACAAAATTAGTCAAGAGTCTCTAAATGCAACAAACGATATAAAAATGTTGATTTTCATTGGAATATTCCGATTATGAAATAAAAGTGAATACAACCTCTCTATAGTACTAATGTTAACAATTAATTTTATCACATACTAGCTGTTACCGTGCGACTTCATCCGTATTTTATTATTATTATATTGTTTACATTTGTCATATTATCAATTACAAATGTCAAAATGACATGACATGATGACAACCTTGATTCCTTGATGTCGGCAGCAACTTATGGTCTCTCTTCCACATTAGAGTTTTTATCCAAAATATTTACCCCCTAAGTTTAATGGTGTTAAAATGTATAGCCTAAAGCGTGACGCAAGTGTAAGGCTTTTTATTAAAAAAGTGAATTATTCAAAAATATGCTGTAATTGCTTACATCTTAGGTAACGAAGAAGTGTGTTTACGCTTTATTATATTATAATATAATAGTATAGATTTCAAATTTCATATTATCTGTGTACTTATAGCCATAGTTATATTGTTAAACCTTCGAAAATATATGATTTAAATATTTTGCACCGGTTTTCCCCGGACTGACCTAGTTACCAAATGTGCGGGCGGATCTTCGCCTTGTAAGATACTATATAAATGAGTTTAAATCGTCGTAATTTATCCTTATTACAAGGCTAGTGATGCTAAAATAGTCAAAATTTTATGTACTTTATATACTCGTACGTGGCTTTTACTGTCATCCATCTAGTTTTATTTGAAGAAATTAGAATCAAAACCATGTCTTACTTAAACCGTTATATATAAAGGGAAAACATATTATGTCCCAGTACTCCTTGGCACTTGATACCAAAGCGATAATGACATTACGTCACGACACAGTGGCGCCTCACTTATGACTTTGTACACGATAGTATTTTACTATACTATACACAACAGACTTGCAAACTACGGGCGATCGATTTTTATCTATAGAGGTTTAAGTACTAATGTTTTTTTAAAGATTAGGCCTAGATTAGATATAGATTTTTTTATATGTTAATACATAATCATGTACTAAAAAAATAAAAGGTTTTTGTGATGAACAAAAATTAGTGAAGTATTTATTTCTCAATATTTTAATAAATCTTAGCTACGTTATCAGCGGATTTTCCTATCTTTATCACCTTAATCGTCACAAGTGCGTCATGATCGCGTCATGACGGAGTAAGGCTGACGCAATCGCAAGCCGCCGCTGTGACGCTCAAGGTTGTCAATTCTTACGAATGGATGCGCTATCTAGACTATTATAATAAACCATAAACATACTTCTTTGTTGCCTCAGATTTCAGCAATTACAGCATATTTTGAATAATATTTTTCTAATAAAAAGCCCTACACCTGCGTCACGCTTTAGGCTATATATTTTAACGCCATTAAACTTAGGGGGTAAATGTTTTGGATAAAAACCCTAATGTGGGAAAGAGACTATAAACTACAAGGTGCCAAAATCAAGGAAACAAGATTGTCATGGTTTGTCATCATGTCATGTAATTCTGACATTTGCAATTAAAAATTTGACAAATGTAAACAATAAAATATTTTGATATTTTCATGCGGATGAAGCCGTAGGGGAATAGCTAGTATGACTATAAAATCAATGTTTCCTTGGAAGACAAATATCTCGTATATCTAACCCTTTTTTTAATACCACTAGCTATTGCTAGACTAAGACTTTACCGGCGTAAAATTTTAAAAAAATAGTTAAAACACAGCCTATGTCACTCTGTGATGATATAGCTTTTTAATGATGAAAGAATTTTTGAAATATCCACTAGTTTTAGAGTTATTCCAAGACATACAAATATACAAAAAAACAAATCTTATCTCTTATAATATTAGTAATACTACAAAAAAAAACTTCTACGGTGCATTGTCTTAGAGATGACTCGATTCACATTAAGCAAAAAGTCTATAGCTATTAAGCGAAAACTGATTTCATTGTTTTAAAAGTTACATAAAAGTTTACATCTTATATCTTTTTTCACAATGACATAATTTTATGTGATTTATTAACGCAACTACGAATAAAACGTCTTTTCGAATTAATCGGTTTAAAGGTTGAGTTCATCGGAAATTTCAAAATTAAAAACAATAAAACACCTTCAATGAAAATCTCATTTTCTTTAGTATTCCTTATTTCCTTATCATCTACGCAGAACTAATTTTAAATAGTTTCCGGTTATCGCTGTATAAACAGCTTCACTACGTCTTTACAAAGTCTAACAGGAAAAGTAACCGTAAGTTTCCATTGCTGGATAAAGATGATGTCTTTCAGATGTCTGACAGGTTTCAGTTCTTCAGAAGGATTAGAGAACTGTCAATATTTTTGTACAGTCGAAGAATATAACCGTGTTCTACGTTTGAGAGTTGAGATGATTAAATAAGCAGATTTTGTGTACAAAAAATGGCCGGCCAATACTTCGCGGTTAATTACTTAGAAAATATAATATAATACCGTGAGTTTCCGCAATTGTACATAAATTTTGGCTATTAACACCCACGTTAACATTGGACGGTTTCTATTAGCAATAAAACTGACCCTCATGTTTGTCTGTGATTCCCGCAACTGAGATGAAATAAACACGTGACGCATAATGCAGATAAACTTAAAATTAATCGTTTTATTTGTATGGGAAAATACGTTTTGTATCTTATTGTCACATTAGTTTATATTTACTTAATAATGAGAAAAATATTATTTGTTTTGGATGAATTGAAGGAGTTTTAAAAATCCTATGGTTAATAAAACTCTCCCGATCTAAAAATCTGTTTTTATGAAGTATTCGATTTTTGTTAACCTATTAATATTTCATTTAACCATTCCAGATAAGCTTTTGCTAGGATATGGTTCCCGACACTAAACGAATGCTGGGATTCAAACCCTCGACCGCAAGATCTGTAGCCCGTATTCCAAACCATTAGGCTATTGAAGGCTATTGAACCATTAGGCATTGTGCTCACTTGTTTCGTATATTTTAATTTTTTACATTACTCTATTTTTCTTTATTTATAATCGTGTACCTATTGTAGCGAAATACAAACCGTAGGAGTTTGCTAGTAAGGAAAAGCAGTTTTCTACATAATGTTTTGCATGATTTCACTGTATGTCGTAAAAATATTCAGAGAATTTCGATTTCTAATTATAACAAATACAAGGTCGACCGACGTATAAATATTAGTTTAAAAATAAACGAACTCTTGGAAGTAAATCGTGAAAATGCAAACATACGATTAGGTTGTTTTAAAAAATTCGTCATGCGCATATTTTGATGACTTGCTTTTGGTTGAATCACGTTTTCGAAGTAATTAGGAATGCTAAATGGGTCTCATTAGACCAGTTAACTACACGAATTCTAAAAACGAATAAATTTCCCATTTAATTGTCCAGCAGTTTGAATGTAAGATCTCCAATCCTCCAATGAAGTTGGAAAATTTGTTACAAAATTGACGTTAATTTTTAGCGACATCATTGATGATATTCTTAATTAATATACACGCTTGAACAGAAAAGCTACTTTAAAGCAACATACGTAAAAATTCCCAATAAATTACTCCTTCCTCTACTCATACGCTTCAATATTGTTCAATATGCCAAATAATAAGCAACAAAAATCACGAATAATTAATCTCATAAACGTAAATATCGTGCAAGGCCGTCGTAAGACCTCTAAATACACCGCACAATTAACCCAATAAATACGGACTCCGGTAAATTTACCGCGGATTAACGAGTCGTGGCAACGTTATCGCATTTCCTACATTTACTAGACCAATAAAACTAGCGTATTGTGTACACCGTGAGTTTCCACTGTCGTAATACATTTTTATATATTTTTTATTTTTTTTTATATTATGTTTTCACCTTTGACTAAACTATCGCGAAATTGTTAAGTCGCGCTTTGATTCCTATAAGCTTATATCGAGGTGCGCACACTACTAAATTTTTAGTTGTGCAACTAAACAGTTGAATTAGCTGCGAAACAATTGACAATCCCACAACAGTTGTGCGATATTTTAGTCAAGGACGCCTGCTTTGAGAGTTATTCAGAGTTAATTACACACGTTAAGTCTGAAACTAAATAAGATAATTTAATCACTAATTTACATTTAATATTAATTAATATTTTAAGAGAATAAAAGAACTGTGCTTGTATGTAAAAAATGTAACTCTTCAATGATTTTGTTATTTAGCGAATGTATGGTTGTTTTTTTGTTATAGGTGGTCGAGTGTAAAGAGAAAAGAACCGGTGCTAAACGTGCACTGAAGGTTTTACACGACAGCGCGAAAGCAAGACGCGAAGTCGAGCTGCATTGGAGAGCGAGTGGCTGTATACACATCGTTGAGGTTTGTGCCGACAGCAATTTAGTAAAAAAAATTATAAGAAATGCGAGGTATAAATTAACATTTAGAAAATGTACAAACGACATTTGACAGATGCATATTTGCATCTTGAATTATTTTTGTAGACACAAATTTAGAAGCTACGTTCACATTTATGAAGCGGGTATAGTGAGTTACACTTATTTGGTCCAGTTTGCGAGGTTAACAATCGGTTCGATTCAGAAAATGTGTGAAGCATCAAACAAGGGACCCATGTCTAGTTTCATTTACAATGAGCCTATGCTATTTTCGGAATTGGGGCAGTCCTTTTTTAAGTTATTTAGTACATACAAAAATACAAATCTTTTGTTTATAATATTAGTATAGATAAGTGGATAATAAAAGGTTTCTCCAGTACGCACTAGACCTATATCAATGCGGTGAACAATTATTGCGCAATAAATTACATGTTGTGTAATATTGTAAACAGGTGATAATTGTAAACATTGTATCGTATGGGTAAAGATGTTGACACACTGAGAGGATTTGTAATATTTACTCTTAACAAGATAAAGGTGAGGCTACACTGTTGTATGTGACCATTGAACAATTAGTGTAACATTAAATATATATTAAATGATAGGTTAGTTTTGTAAAGTGATCGCTAAAGTGTAATTTATTATTGATACTGGTCTTAACCACGAATATTGTTTTAAAACTGTCGTATTTAGTTCACTATTTATCAGTACTTATTTTAAGAACAAAGATATTTTACACAGTGTCTTCATTATTTTGAACCGATATAAGACATATTGTGAAATACTATATACCTTTATTGCGCTGATCATGCGGGCTTACTCAATGCTTATGATAAGAATCTATCGATATCTTGCATACATATAATAAAATAGAAGTGTCTGTTTGTAATATCAAAAGAAAAATTCCAGATTTCGGGAAGATTTATTTGCGTTGCTGATAGCAAAATTCGCATTAAAAAATATTTTGTCTGTCTGTCTGTCTGTCCGCAAGCCACGTTTGTTCCGGGCAATCTCCGAATTGGCTTGGCCGATTATGACCGGACTTTCACTGAAGGGTAGCTGACACAGACGGGCATATTATCGGCTACATTTTTTTTAATACCTCCCTGTCAAAACTACTACGACCGCTATCTCTGGAACGGGTGGCCCGATTTGGACGGGACGTTTCAACATTACATTCACAAATGTCATCTTATTGACTTTTTCTCTATCGATGTAACTTAATGGTGATAAAAGAAAGACTAAAAATAGAAATAGACTAAAATATGAAGTGTAGATCACTATTTATATTATTACAAGTTTGCGCCCGCAACTCCATTCGCGTAAAATAAAAAAAAAAGTAATTAGCCTATGTGTTCTTCCAAACTATCCTCTACATCTATGGCAAATTTCATTGGAATTACTCCAGCCCGCCCTAAACGTCTGTCCCTCAAGAATAAGATAATTGTAATTATTTACTTATACTTGTTAAAAAACTTGTCCGGGTAACTAATTTCGAGAAACTAAACGCTGTATCTACAGGATGTTGACTGTATCAAATGTACAGCACTAAGGCAATAAACAATCGTCGCGACTCGAAACAAATACTGATTTACGTATCCGACATTTACGACAGTATTAACCACTCAATACTAAATTCCAATGTTCGCGTAAAATCTATAAAAAGAGAACAATAGGGCACATTTTCCTTATCAATAAATTCGCTGGGATCGATCCAGAAGTAGAATTATTAAAATTTATATTAGAATTATTAAATTGTGTTTGTAGTTTGTAACACAACATAATATAAAAGTTATAAATTAAATTTTAAAATTAGGTAAAGTACAGTCATGCCCCCAAGGCGAACAGTATTTCTTAACTGAGACGAAAATGAATTAAAAATAAACTTTGGTTTTAGGGCGGGAATACATATTATAGTAAAACGGTATAGCATGCCCATAGCTTTCACATGGTGACAACATGCCAGTAAGCATTCATATATACCTGTAGGAGACTCATGTAAGCTTGCGTGATAGTGTACCAACTACACATGTGTATTCCTGCCTTTATATTATGCACTGCTTTTCCTATAGCCTTGGTCATTCATGACAATATAATTTGTTTTAAAAAATATTATAAAGAGGAAAGATTAGTATTTGTATGTATTGAAATAACTCAAAAAATACTAGGCCAATTTCATAAATTCTTTCACCATTAAAAAGCTACGTTATCGGTGAATAACATGGTCTAAACGTTTTTATTATTTTTTTAATGTCGCGCGGACGATGTCGCTAGCAATAATTAATAAAAGCTTTTAAAATACATGATTATTTAAAAAGGAGCATACTGTACGATTTTTAAAAGACACCTTTGTGTTGACAGGAAGTGACATCATTTACGTAGAAAGACTAATTGTTAACTCTTCCGTGCTACAAAGAAACCGCGATACGGAATACCGCCTCTAATCATGAATTAGTATGTAAATCATACAACTTATTACGTAAACTTAAGAACTCTTAGATCGTTTATTCTTGGATAAAGATGTTTTAGATAGAGCGAAGTGGAGATTGACAAAGAAAGCTGTCCTACTGACATATGGAATACAGGCTATGCAGAGAGAGGGGACAGAGTGAGAGAGATAGGTCATTCATTAATTAATAAAATAATCAAAAACAAGCCGCACAACACAAGGGCTGTCTGTTAGTTCTGTCAGAAGATATGTCAATCATAAATTCGTTACACTTTTGGACACTGTGTCAGTGAACGTTTCGGTCTATATCTCTAAAACACTAAAAGCTACATCTTTATCTATGATATCTATACTAATGTTATAAAAAGATTTGTATTTTTGTATGTCTTAAAATAACTCCAAAACTGAACTTGAAAATTCTTTCACCGTTAGAAAGGTTATTTATCTGTAAGTAATATAGGCTATATTTTTATTTTCACGCGGACAAAGTCGCAAGCAACAGCTAGTTTAATAACATCTTTAGTTGTAAGGTAAAGCTCTTCTCCGGTAAATCTATATTAAAATGAGCCAGACATTAAACCGGTTTGAATTCGCGAGACGTGACGCATCGTTTTTATTGCATTGGTGGACCTTGATACTACAGCATAGTTTATTTGTATCTAGCTGTTGCGTGCGACCTCGTCCGCGTGTAATTAAAAAATAAAAATCAAATATAGCTTATGTTACCCTCTGATAACATAGCTTTTTAATACTGAAAGAATTTTTGATATCGGCCCCGTAGTTTTTGAGTTTTTCCAATACATACAAAAATACAAATCTTTCCTCTTTATAATAATAGTATAGACATATATGCTGTTGGTTCTATAGTTTGAATTCTTGTAGACTAGTTACGTACTGTGACTTTGCATTTATTGGAGGTAAAAAATGTTAAAAAATCGTCTTTATTTATTTTTAATATCTTGTTTTATTTGGGTTTCAGATAATAGATGTATATGACAATACCTACGCTGGGAAGAGATGTCTGCTTGTTGTGATGGAGTGTATGGATGGCGGGGAGCTGTTCCAGAGGATCCAGGATAATAGAGAGGGAGCCTTTACAGAAAGACAAGCTGCTGAGGTTTGTTAGACTTATCACAATATTAATAGTAGTGCAAGTTTGTTCGTAAAGCCATTTAATGTTTTATTACATTAGTGAAGGGCATAAGTGATACTAAATTTAACGACTAATATAGTACCTTTGAGAGAAAGTGAAAAATATTTTGTTCGGTGTGTCTTGTCTATATATTACAAGCTTTCGCCGGCGACTTCGGTCGCGTGCAATCAAAAAAAAAACGCAAGTAGCCTATGTTCTAGACTATGCTTTACATCTATTAAAAATTTAATCAAGATCCGTTTGGACGTTTAGGCTATTCTAACAAACATCCATCCAGCAAAATTTAGCATTTATATCAATGTTTTTGTAAGGTACGTGTAAGGAAGAAGTGTCTGTCGCCAATGAACTGCTGTACAGTTAGGCGACTTGTCTTTTATAAGTCAATGTAAATTTTTCTCTTGTGTCAATACATTATAAAAAAATAGGATAACCGTGTTTCTTACCTTTGTTTTGAATTATAAAATAAAAAAATCGTAAGTGATACTAGAGTTCAAACAAACCTTTTCGTTTCGTTTCGTTTAAATAAATAATTTATTTCAATCCTTACTTCCTCAGATAATGCACTCGATATGTGTTGCCGTTCGTCACCTACATGACTCGGATATCGCTCACAGAGACATCAAACCTGAGAATCTGCTCTACACCAGTATGGAGCCTAATGCGATATTAAAATTAACCGACTTTGGCTTCGCTAAGGAGACCCTTTCACAGGCGGATACTCTACAAACACCCTGTTATACGCCGTATTACGTCGCTCCAGAGGTATGGTATACCAAGATTCAAAGTTTATCGCTACTGGTTAGCATTTAAATCTATAGTAACATTAAGATCGTCGGTGGCTCAGAGGTTTAAACACTTTACTTGTAATATACATCTGCAGGTCTTGGGTTCGAATCCTGCCGTGTACCATTGTGATTTTTGATTTTTCGAATTTTAATATGTACATAATTTACCCGACGTTCTTACGGTGAAGGAAAATATCGTGTTGCAACCTGCACATATCGGCGAAGAAATTCAAAGATATGTGTGAAGTCAACCAACCCGCACTGGGCCAGCGTGGTTGACTATGGCCTAGTCACCCCTTATTAGGGTAGGCTCGGAGCCACTCGGTGGGGACGTATAGTAAGCTGGTGATGATGATGATGAATGTCATAAAGAGGAAAGGCTTGTATTTTTGTATGTACTAGCTTTCACCCGCGTCTCCATCCGCGCGGAATTAAAAAAAAAAATCCAAGTCTATGTGCTCTTTCAGACTATCCTCTACATCTTTCCTCTATTTCATCGAAATCCTTTCAACCGTTTAGGTAACCGTATAAACTCTAACAAACATCCATCCATCTAAACTTTTGCATTTATATCAGTATGATTGAAATAACTCAAAAACTACTGGGCAAATTAAAAAAATACACCGTTAGAAAGGTAATTTATCTGTGAGTAAAATAGTGATGTGTTGTATTTTGTTCTAGGTCTTAGGTCCAGAAAAATATGACAAGTCCTGTGATATCTGGTCTCTAGGCGTTGTCATGTACATCTTGTTGTGCGGCTTCCCGCCGTTCTACTCTAACCACGGCCTCGCTATATCACCGGGGATGAAAAAGGTAACGATAAAGGCAAATACTAGCTGTTACCCGCGGCTTTATCCGCATGAAATTATAAAAATGAAATCATTTTTTTAATTTAAAAAAGTTATCTATCACATTCCCGCGTGCATCTACTTTCTACCAGCTATCTTCCAGTCAATGTCTCGTTCAAATCTGTCCATCCGTTCCAGAGATAGCGGTCCGGTCACCGTTTTGATACCGCGGAATTAAAAATGTAGCCTATAACATGCCTGCCTATGTCAGCTACCTTCCAGTGAAAGTCCCGTCGAAATCGGCCCAGCCATTTCGGAGATTACCCGGAACATACGCGGCTTGCGGACAAACAGACAGACAAAAAAAAATTAAATGCGCTTTTCGTTATCATTTACCCAAATACATCATCTTCCCGAAATCTGGAATTTTCCTTTGATATTACAGACGCTATAATTTTTTTGTATAGAAGTATTATAAAAATGTGAAATTTATATGTATATTCCAGCGAATCCGTCTCGGCCAGTACGACTTCCCAGAACCGGAGTGGTCCAATGTGTCCGCGGAAGCCAAGAATCTGATCCGCGGCATGCTGTCTGTGGACCCCGCCAAACGACTCACCATACACCAGGTCAACTGTACTATCTGTACTAATTGTACTATACTAACTGTTCAAGTACGGTACATCCCTTAGAAATTATATAAACTTTTTTTTTTTTAATTTGGGATTTTTTTTTGCAAATGTCAATTCAAATGCACAAATCAACAAAGATATTGGCTAACAATTATCGTTACCATAACCATTTTTCTTCTTTGAAGTCAATTTATAGTTTTAATGCATTCCCTATATAACTGAGACCTTTCAGAGAAAGTACCGGTAAGTAATATTCAATGTGCCTCGTATTAAAATATAGACGAAACGTTGACTTCGAACGAAAAGAACGTTATGTTCTTTTCCTTGAGATAAATAAGTTAGCGACAAAGCTCCATGCAAAAAAATGGTTTTTGTATAATAAAATAATATCGTAACTTGTATATACTAGCTGTTGCTTATTCGTCGGGTGTAATTTAAAAAAATAATAATAAAACATAGCCTATGTTACTCATTGACAACGTTCCTTTTTAATTGTGAAAGAATTTATGAATTGTTATTTCAATACATACAAAAATTATAACATGAGTATAGATAAAGATTTGTATTTTTGTATATATGGAAATAACTCAAAAACTACTGGATGGATTTCAAAGCTATGTTATCAGTGAGTAACAGGCTATATTTTTTATTTTATTTTTTACAGTGGTAGAGCCCGCTTTAACATCTTCGCACTGCAGGGCCGGCTCGCCCGGTGTAATACCACGACCACACAGAAAACAGGCGTGAAGTGGAAGCAATTCCGCTTTTCGTCTTATGAGTGTGGTGCCGGAGGCCTAATTTTAGTTCCTTTCCCTATTCTCAATAGGAAAGAATGGGAAGGAATAGTGGATTTGACGGGGGAGGAGACGCATAGGAAGGTAAAATGTCCTGTTTATGTGCGTCTCCTCCTCCGTCAATTAAGGGTAGGCAACGCATCTGCGGATGTTTATGGGCAGCGGCCGCTTTCCATTTCGGTGGGTTGAGGTGGCCGCTTGCTCGTTTGCCACTTTATATTAGCTACTTTATACTAGCTGTTCGCGTGTGGCTTCATCCGCATGAAATTATAAAAACTTTATTTCATTGTTTACATTTGTCAAATTCTCAATTGCAAATGTCAAAATGACATGACATAATGACAAAGCAATAAACCTTGCTTCCTTGATGTTGGCAGCAACTTATGGTCTCTTTCCCACATTAGGGTTTTTGTCCAAAATATTTACCCCCTTAGGTTAAGTTTCATGGCGGCATATTTCAAATATATAGCCTATAGCGTGACGTAAGTGTAGGGCATTTTATTAAAAAAAGAATTATAAAAAATATGCTGTAATTGCTGACATCTTAAGCAACAAAGAAGTGTGTGTTTACGCTTTATTATAATAGTATATATAAAAAAAAAATTGACTCGGCCGAAGTCAACAGCAATATAAGATTGTATATGTGCAGGTGATGTCAAGTCCGTGGGTGCGGCAGTTCGCGCAGGTGCCGCAGACGCCGCTGTACACGCACGCGCTGCTGCGCGACGCGGGCGAGGCGTGGGCCGACGTGCAGGACGAGATGACGCGCTCGCTCGCCACCATGCGCGTCGACTACGACCAGGTCACAAGAAACACTCGTATTATGATTGAAAGGACAATTTAAATTATAACATTGTTACTAAATCAAATCATCAAAAAATTTATTATTGTTATAAATGTGAAAGTTTAGATGGATGGACGTTTGTTACAGTTTGTAGCCTTAACGACACAACAGATCTCGATGAAATTTGGAATAGACGTAGTAGATAGTCTAAAAGAAGACATAGGCCACACTCTTTTGTTTTAAGTCCACGCGGACGGAGTCGCGAGCGAAAGCTAGTTTATTTCATATATCAATGATCAGAAAAGTGTTATTGTGAACTCAAACTCATATTAGTATGATATTTACATAATTTCTATTAATAATTGAAACTCACAATTTATATTACTCGAAATAAACTTGAGAAGTGCTTTTGTAAATCAGAGATGATACAATTGTTAATATAATATTTCTAGCTGTTGCTCGCGGCTTCGTCCGCGTGAAATTTAAAAAATACAGACTTTGTTTCTTAGCGATAACGTAGCTTTTTGTCTAAAAAATATTTGAAATCCGCCCTGTAGTTTTTAAGTAATTTCAATACATACAAAAATACAAATCGTTCCCCTTTTTTTGATTTGCTCAGATATCCGCAACTTTTTTTGAAAATTTTCAGGTACAAATTAAAGCTTTGGAACAGAGTAACAACTCCCTACTAAATAAGAGAAGAAACAAAGTGGGTGCCTGAGATTCTCTCGAGGGAGGGACATGAGGCCCCCCCTACCTCCGACTGACGTCATCACATCACAATGACTTAAGTAAATTAATTTTACAAATTTCTTTTTTGTCAAATTTGCTATGACTTTTTTTTGTATGAATTTATTTTGCAGTTTAAAACACATTTGATTGAAGATTGAAGACAGTTTTAGTATATTTATTTAGTGCATATGTATTTTTATTATTTAGTTTATCTATGAAAAATATGCTATCTCTCAATGTTTTATATTTGTATCCAGATATCAAGAACCAAGTTTGTACAAAAATGTCTTTTGAAGTAAGTTTTTTAGTTGCATCACATCACTAGTCTTCCTTTTACATTAAGTTGCATTTACATACAAATATATAATTGTAGAAGTAAATATGAAATCTTCACATGCTATGCCACTTATAAAAGGTAAAAAATGTTCCCTTTGGTTGATGAAAAATAGTAAATAATTTTTTTTTTAGATTAAGTACGTTCGATTAAGAACACTGACTTTTTTTTGGAAAATTTCGCTTTTTTTATATGATTTTTTTAATAATTTTTATTACCTCGGTCTTTGTATTAATTTAGTAAAGGAATCTCTCAACGTTATTTTTTTTCCTGTAATGAATTTGAACATTTTGTAATTAAAAGTAATTTCTGTATAATTTTAGGCAATGTAAGGTATGTGCCAAATCTAGTTTTAAAACATGAATATCTAAATATATCCCAGATAAGTTTATAAATAATGTAAAAAAAAAACACGAAATTACAAAGATGGCGGCCATTGTTCAATTTTTTTTTGAAAATAAAATTTTTCCATGAAGTAAAGAAAGTGAAAGTGTTTCTTCGAAAACATTTTTATATTCATGCTTTATTTTGGACTAATAAATCAATTAAAATTAATTCAATCATTTTGTAACGTGTTCTTAGTCGAACTTTTTTTAGTAATAATAATAATAGTTATAAGTTGAATGGATTTAATAGTGCGTGTATAAGATATTTAGTGTTCCCAGACGACGAAAATTTTTTAATAATCAAATTCACTCAGAATTTTATTATTAAAAATGTTATAATTAGCATTTTCAGTGATTTTCAAAAAATAATTTGTACTATAGTAGCAACAATTTTTCAGTTGTTTTTCAAAAAAAATCTCTTGTTTAGAAAAGTAAAGTCAATTAAAAATCTGAAAATAATGTATTTTTGTAATGGAATAATAAATGGCAACATTTAATTATTATTTGCCGTCCATTTATGAGAGAAACTGCAGAGTATATTTTCATTAAAAATGTATGACGTATTTGCATAAAATGTTATGCTTCTAAAATGTACACGTTTATAACAAAAATACTACTTTAGAATCCACTGGCGTCCATTTAATTTATCATAAAGTGGGTTCTAAATTAAAAAAAATGCCATTTTTGAACCTATTATAAAAATTATATGTAAAATAGCGTCTGTAAACAAATTTTAAAGACAGAATTAGTAATATTTACTTATCGTAAAATATTTGATAAGTATTTATCTAAGAATTTTTGTTTATTTTATTGCTTTATCAATACGAAAAAAATGTCGACTTTTATCTCTTAAAGAAATTTTTCGTATGTGTATTCTTTCAAAGACATATAGAAATATGTAACGCAATAATTAACACTAAAGATCATGCGCGCACCTTTGACTAAACTATCTCAGAACTGTTTTTAAAAAAAAGGGATAAAAGAAGGTGTTAAGAGGTACCAAGGTTGCTGCTTCAGCAAAGGCAGCAGGTGCTACTAGAGAGCCCCCGGGGCTATTAAAAAAAAACTGTTTAGTCTCACTTTGTTTGCTATGAGTTTATATGATGCGCACACTACTCGTTTTTAGTGGTGAACTAAACAGTTGAATTGGGTGTCAAAACAGTTGTGCGATAGTTTGGTCAAATGTGTGCGCCCGCTCTTAAAATGTTACGGAACCATAACCGTAAAATTCATGTCGTCACAAAACTATTTTTTCATATATTCTATACGTTATTAAAATTATCTAAGTTTCTAATATAAGTTTATATTTTCCTAATTATTCTGTTGACTCAAAAGTCAGACACCATAATGTAAATATGACATCACATTAACTGAATTTCCACTGTTTAAATACATGTCTCTGTCATATTATATTAAAAAAACAGAGATAACAATAGTTTGATATCAGCAGTGGAAATTTACGATTATTTTTTTCTAAGTACTTATTCCTTATAAGCATATTGTTTACTTAAAAGACGCTGCGATGTAACAGAAATATGTAATGGATGGATTTATTAGTACCTTAATATTGTAACTATGAGTGGAGAAAATAAAAGTATTGATAAACTTATTGGTTTTTTACATTTTTATTACACTTTTAGAAAAATTACCTTATTTTTAAGTCAATATATACGAAACATGTTTTTAAACTTACTAGAATCATTTTTTTTTCTACATTGCGACTAATACTTACTACAATTATAAATGCGAAAATTTAGATGGATGGATGGATGATTGTTAGAGTTTGTAGCCTAAACGGCTGAATGGATCTCGAAATCTAGCACAAATGTGGAGGATACTCTGGAAGAGCACATAGGCTGCTTACTTTTGTTTTTTATAATTCCATGCGGACGGAGTCGCGGGCGAAAGCTAGTAAATAGAAATAAAACAAACCGGTAAAAATAAATCGTTTATTAATATTATTAAAAAAAGTAACGAAAACAATAAAGCATAGGGAATGCACAATTAAATGCAATTTTACTTAAAATTTAAAACAAAAATGTTAAAAAAAATTCATTACATTAATAAATTATAATAATTTTGCAACATATATTAATGTTTTAAAAAAGAACAGCAATTAACAATTTGTATATAACTTGTGTCTTTATGTTGTACATAAAGAAGCTATGTAATAACTTATTTAATTAAAATCGCCATACAAATTGAATTCATTCGTTCAAACTTTTCACTTATAATTATTAATACAAAATTGTCAGTTTACATATGAGATTACATTAATACTAGGAATGTACAATTGTAAGTTGTAAACTTAGATTACACACCTACACCACCGTTGTAGACTGTATGTATGTCTATGAGAGGTTGTAGACTTGGGATGTATGTATGGATGGTTGTATACTCGGGATGTATGTATGGATGGTTGTATACTTGGGATATATGTTTATCGTAAGTTGTATACTTGAGATGTACGTTTAATGTAAGTTGTATTCTCAATTTCTAATAGATATACAACTTACAATAAATGTATTATTGTAAGTTGTATATATATGAGAAATTGTATACTAGGGTACATCTAGAGGAGACTGAGGAGCATGTATATGAGAGGCGGTGCCCATGCGCTGTGTGTCATAGAGAGTCCGGTGAGCGCGGCCACCGCCAGCCACAGTACATAGATTATACCCATCTGCCATACAACGTGCGCGGCAAGAAGACTGGAACAAAATCATTTTATTTTACAAACATATATGTTGCTTGATATTGTTGACATTATGGTGGATATGTTTACACAAAACAAATATTTAAATCAAGTAAAATTGGTAAGCTTCTTTCCTTATAGTAATATTTATTTTATAAATAAATAACTAAAAGCGCCAATAGTCGGTTATATTGGTGTCGATTTCCGATCAAATGATCAATAGTTGAAATTACATTCACCTACTGTCAAACTATAGACACAATTATCTTGGATTGGTATAAAAATATGAACAAATTAATAAAAATCTGCCAATACAAAAGTATAAATAAAAACTAACATACGGCTTCGTTTGACCTTTCATACATCGATTGTAGTAGAAACTATGGGACTTACATGATATCCTTCTTCCTGGCCGCGGGCAGCGTGGACTCTTTCTCCTTGTTCAGGTATCTGCGCACTCCCAGGTGCAACGTCACGAAGTAATCCACCCACTGGAATATACATTAAATATTATAATACACTATACAATTATACATTTTACAATAATACACTTTATTATTTAGAACAGTATTAAAAATCAAATCCAGTTCACAAGTCAGTAGCCTGAGGGCAATGTAGGGCAATCATCATCATCAGAGGCACTACAGCCGCGGGTGGGCTTGGGCCTGGTCCAGTAAATTCCTCCATATCTGTCTATCTTGGGCTTTTTGTTTCCAGCCCTTATTGCCGACATTTCTAAGGTCTCTTAATATAGGGCAATACCCTATATTAAAATTACAAAGCCCTTAAAAAAAACTAAAAACGATAAATCATATTGAAATTTTTATTAGTTTTAGAGAAAAAAAGTTACAGCAATAGATATCTAAACTCCGAACATACTCTATAAACAGGAAAGGTACTCCCCTTTTTGTCTGCCTTTGATTTGCTTCAAGGGCAAATTAATAACATTTTTGTCCCTATCTGTACATTGCTGATCTGCGGATTAATTTAAGTTAAGTGGGTAATGAGTTACTTACATTAATATCAGATATATCTATATAGTAAAGTTCAGCGTCTGTCGGTGTGAGAGCGCGGGCGAGGTCGCGCGTGTTGTGGTTGTGGTAGCGCCACTCGTTGAAAATGAACTTCTCCAAGCGGCCTAGTGACGCCCACACGTTCTTGTGCAAACGGAACAAACTGTAATACACAAATACTAATATTAATGTGAAAGAATAGATGGATATTTGTTACTAGGTATCTTTAGCACAACTTATCGGATCTTGATGAAATTTGACACAGATGTAGAGCATAGTCTGGAAGAATACATAGGATAATAAAGAAATCGGGTGCAAAACTAGTTAATGACATAAATGTAAAAGTTTAAATGGATGTAGGTATCTCTAGAGCAGCTGAATGGATCTTGATGAAATTTGGCCAGTTGTAGAACATGGTATAACACACACATTACTTATGTTTTTCTTAATTCCGCGCTATTAAAGTCGTTTATATAATACTTGTTTTATTACAATTACCAAAAATGTCTGTAATGTCAAGTGCAAAATAATTTGCCAATATTTGATAGTATTTAATGGTTTTCCCAATGTCAACACTATATATTCTCTGAATATCTTTGATTACAATTGATTATGTGATGATGTAACTCACATAGGTCTCTTGCCCGTGAGGCGCAGCATCATGTCGAGGAGCAGCGCGGGGAAGAAGTGGATAAAGATGGCGGACACGCGGAACAGCCACAGCGATGACACAAACTCCAAGCGAGGGTACCTGATGGATATTAACGCAGATACACAGTAAAAAACAATCAATTCCTACCGTCTGTGCCTATTATGACTTAAATATTAAAACTATGACTTAGTTTTTTTGGAATTATACACCTCAAACATAGTCTAAACCTGATTTTAAGGTCAGGTCATCATTTTTGAGGTCATCTAGCCACTCTAAACATTGCAGTTATACAAATCATAACTAACTAACAATTTAGACTATTATAGTGAAAAATAGGGAAAAAGCAATATTTACCAGACAGCACTCTTTAATGGATACTTGTGAAGCATTTCATTGACGTGGTTGTCGAGCATCGTCCAGCGGAAAGGTTTCTGCGTTGACGACGAGCAGTGGTACACCGTCAGACCTGACCTGGACACACCAAACACTGTATATTAACATTCAAACTTTATGCCGGCTCTGATTGCATCTTAGCATATATCTATGTTAGGTCACTGTTATTAGACAGTCATACGAATTTAAAGTGACTAACATATTTTACATCACTTGGATACTTAAAGTTGTGTTGTTGGGTCTCGGACGAATCCGCGAGTCGCCTTTGAATTGTAATATACTTTATGTTGTCTAGCAGTGTAGTTTAGAAAATTTTAACATAATAGAAAGACTGAGAGTTTGATAGTGTTCATCTTAAGTTAGAAAAAAAAAATGTTAAATTGTTGATATATGTAAATATGCATGACGGGAGGTAGTATTAAGTAAACTATTAATATGAGGAACATATAATTTAGATATCTCTAAATAAAGATAGGTAAAAAGTCCAGTCCACTTACTTTTCCTTAGCAGCATGCCAGCCGGCTACTAGCAGTTGGTTGACAACCACATCAACTGGAATATAGTCAGCTATGTTCTTCTTAGACAACGGCAGACGACGCACCACGCCTGAAAATATATTCATATTTACTATATCGGCTTAAATTAAAACATTTTTTTCTCATTTTTTTTAAACAATAAATGGCAAACAAGCAAGCAGCCACCGAATCCGCCAAAATTAGGAAACTTAATCGACAGTATAGGAGAGATAAAGAAGTAATATTTCCCATTCCTATACGTCTCCTCCACCGTCAAATCCACTTTCCCATCCAATCCTTTCCTTGTAAGAAAAGAGTGGAACGGGAAAGGGACTAACATTGGGCCTTCCGGCACCACACTCATTAAACGAAACGGAATTTCTCCTACTTCACGCCTGTCTTCTGTGTGGCCGACCTATTAGTGCGAAGATATTAAAGCGAGCTCTACCACTGTCATAAAGATTTTTTACCTTTAGCTGCTCCCATTAGGAATCCCTGCGGACCAACCTTAGAACATGTCCATCCCGGCACTGGTTCTTTCCATGCAGCAACAACTGTACAAAATGTCTTTTTTAATATGAATCATGTTTAAAGAAACAAACAGAAATCTCGATTTCTATTAAAAAAAACTTAATTAATTAGTTAGCACTTCAGACACTTAGACAAAAAATTGTTATAAACCAATGATATAATTTGAATGCAATTGAATATTTTATATACATAATAAAATGTATACAATATACATAAATGTATACATAATAAAATGTATACAAGATACATAACTTAATGTATACATACTCATAGTTGGTCTGACAATGGTACAAGGGAACAAGTCTGCACAATTCTTCACTTCATGCTCCGCCAAGTGTTTTGTAAAGGTGTAAGTATTTAAATGGTTTTTAAGAACTCTGTAAAACGAAATATAACTAAGTGAGCCGATCCGCAGTCATTCAATTTTAATTATAGCCATTATATAGAGTCTTTATCTATACTAATATAATAAAGTGTTATTTGTATGTTTAAAAAATAAAATATGTGTTTACGACACACTTCTTTGTTGCCTAAGATGTCAACAATCACCGCATATTTTTGAATAATTCTTTTAATAAAAAGCCGTACACTTACGTTACGCTTTAGGCTATATATTTTCACGCTATTAAACTTCAGGGGTAATTATTTTGGATAAAAACCCTAATGTGGGAAACAGATAATAAGTTGCTGCCAACATCAAGGAAGCAAGATTGCCAAGTTTTGTCATGTCATGTCATTTTGACATTTGCAATTGACAATTTGACACATGTAAACAATAAAATAATTTTATGCTGATGAAATTTTACAGGAACAACTAGTTGACCATAAAAAGTAAAGAAGTTACAATAACTTATACTTACTGAGGTTCAATTTCATTTAATGCGGCATCATTCATAGTTTTAACTAAAGCTATAACTTTTTCAACATCTTCGGGGGCATCATATACTTTCTCATGTGCCTCATTTAAATAGGAATTCACATATGCTGAGGAGACATGAACCATTGCCTGAAAAAACATTGGATATTAGACTATATTATCAAAAAATAATATTTTTACATTTGTGTTTCATATTCCTTAAGAACCTAGAATATTTGTTAAAAAAAATAAAATATGTATTCCATGCATTATAACATTGTAATATTATAAATGCCAAAGTAAAAATAGATGGATGGATGTTTGTTGGAGTTGCTAGACTAAACGGCTGAACAGATTTTGATTAAATTTGGTATGGATAGTAGAGAATAGTCTGGAAGAAAGCATAGGCTACTCCCTTTTGTTTTTTTAATTCCACATGGACAGAGTCACAGGCAAAAGCTAGTTTGTTTATTATTGTTATAAAGATCTTTAATGTTATAACAATTAGCATGCATAGAATTTGTTTATTCAAATAATACATATTTAATACCTTTAAATTTTTAATTTCTTTGCATAATTGCATAACCCTCCTTGTTCCCAACACATTAATCTTCACAGTGGGACTCAAGTTGTCCTCAAAGTCGAGTGTTGCCGCTGAATGTATAACCACATTGACATTATCGATCAATATATCACGGTCCACTTGGCTCAGGCCTAAATCCTCTTTGCCCACATCACCTTCAACTGGTACTAACTTGTTGAATATGTCATTTGAATTTGTTTCTAGAAGCTTCTCAAACACCTGAGAAAAAATTGTTAAACACATAGCAATAAATTTGATTTGATTTTGGCAAAATGTTGTTTTTATGCTCACTTTGTGGCTATTTTTATATTTTGTTGAATCAATATATATTAATGCTAAATTATAGGTTTATTGCCTGGGATACTTGCCCAGTACAGTTAGCATAATGTCAATACGAACTGGCAACAATCTGTTCATACAATCCATGCTTGCGAGATTGTCCAACTGTGCTAACCAAGTGTGAACCAGGCATTATGGTGTGTGATCTATGATATTGACCTTAGGTAAGTTACTTTATTCTCTATCACATATATTGTGAGCTCCTAAATGTCCCTATCAAGGAACTCGGAGCCTACACAAGCTAGTACTTGGCCATTATCGCAGAATCAATATACTAAGGAAAAAATATCACTGAAATATTTACAGGTCATAGTAACATTAACAGACATATCTGTAAGTTAAGTATACTTGTATAAACAGATTTCACATAAATTTAGTTCTGTATACTTTGTACTCTAAGTGTAATACACTTGTTTATGTAAATTAGGTATTGAAGACATGTAGATGTGTTTATTAACATATTTATTAAGGGAATAAAACATGACATGCATATCTGATAAACTTAGTCATAACAATTACAGTTCCATTTATTGATAAGATCTTGTTTTGTTAAAATTAAATTGCAACCTAATTTTTTCTTGTGAAACAAAACACTACACCAAACTTTGTGAATAAATAATTTTAATTTTGTTAACAACTTTTGTTTAACTAAGAGTTCTCATTTTTTAATTAGTAAAAATAGTCTGGTATAGACTTACCGGGTTTTTGGGAAAACCGATTAATCTTGACGATATATCCGTGCCCTGCTTCGGTCGCATAAGTAAATACAATTTTCCAACATCTGGTATAGTTCTTAATATCTTCTCGATCAGACATAAGCCCACGAAACCGGTACCTCCAGTTATAAATAAATTTTTGCCGCTGTAAAATGAGCGGACTTCTGACTGTTCAGTCATTTTTGAATAACTTTTTCACTTTTTATTAAGTCCTATTCCTGTAACAAACAATTACAAGATGAATGACTAAAAATCAATGTTCAGTTCAGCTGAATTTGACATTTTCAGTTAGGTTAGCGGTTAGCGGTGGAATTGGCTACAAGGTCTTATGCCAAAACGCCAAAAACGTCACAATTTTTGAAATACCTGGTATTAAAAAATTATGCATTATAATTTAATTTACCTTTGCTATTACTACTATAGCTTTGTTAATTTTGCTTTTTTAATACTTATTGAAAGACGATCGACAAGGACAACGTATTTTGTATCAAAACTTGTAGAGGGAAATTGAAATGCGAGGATTAAACGATCTAATAATTTTCCAATTAAACTTAATTTATTTGAATTAAAACGGTCTGATGAATTCTATTTACTTGTAAAATTTGAGGAATATATGTGAATACATAAGCAAAAAGAAATTAAGATAAGTATCATAAAGAAAATATACAAATATCCTTGTCTAAAAAAATGCATCGCCGTCATTTGATATCTACGTAGACTTACAACACCTAACACCTACAATCAATTACAACGTTTTAAGCGAATCTCTTTGGGTTCTAACTAAACATTCTTGATGAGACACCTCTACGCCAGACGGTTTTCTGGTCGGACCTAAGGGTTTTCACTGCTAAAACATTAAAAAAACGTAACCATAGTTCTCATTCTCCTTGGAAAATTTGAGACGACTGGTGGTGACAAAAAATTTACTCAATCACGCTTACTACTCTATCGAGAGTGTGTAAATCGGCGTGTAAACAATTCCTTCGTTAACGTCATTCGCAAGAAATACTTAGTAATACCAGTTGGACGACTAAAAACTCGCCTTGTACAAAAACTAAAGGATACTGTGAAAAAAAATACACGTGTAACATTGTATGAAGAAGGTAAATTCTGTAATAAAATGATAGAAAAAAAAAACATATATACGGGCTTAGCCATTGTTAATAAAACCGACATATATTTTAAACTAAAGACTGGAATTGAAGGGGAGGAAGAAAGAATATAGATACCGACAGAAGTTAATAAAAAAAACATAATGTTAACAATAGTTTTTAAAACGATATAATTGCATTTCTAAACTCCTTATAAAAAAGTGTTTATAACAAAAGGATAATAAAATCTACAGGCTATCTATTTCTTAGTCTAATGGTTAGTGATAGGAAACCTTTCCATTTGCTACCTAGAAAGTAACCGCAGCTAATATAACACTATCGATAAATGGTAACAACACATTTCTATTTAGTATAAATACTTATCCTAGTATCCGCGTTTTCATTGTTTGTTCGTTTTAAATGTTTTTATAATTGACAACTTGCAATTTTGAGATTTTTTTAATCTATCCACACGTCACATCGTGTAAGGAATATCGAAATAAACGTTCCTTAAATCCTACAACAAACCAAATTAACTACAAAAATAAATCGTTAGGCAACAATAGTAAAAAAAAAAAACAAAAATATATTACACGCTTTATTAATAATTTTCGATAATTTCAGAACAGGATGGATCTTAACACATCCAAAACATCTGTCAAACAAAACATAGTATTTTTATTTTAACTAAACAAATTGCTATCGAATAAAACTAACGATGGCTTTGCTTCTATACTTGTTTTCTTATCGAATCAAATTAATCTTCTATTATATCCATTTAATATATTTAACTATCAATAAAGACGACGTATACAGAAGGTAATAACTAAAAATTAATAGATTTCTTTATGTGAAGGTCTAAAGGTCACAAGCAAATCGTAAACGTAGTGACCTTCCCTAAGTAATTATGTAGTTGTAGTAGTTGATGTTACCGAACTTTTGTGAAGTCGATAGTAGGTGATGCAACCAGGCATATTATAAAATGTCTAGATGTAGACGAAATTCTGATGGATCTCAATAGGTTACAAATTCAGGCTACTTTCAAATATGTTAAAATATAGCCTGATTGAATATTTTCCCTCCGTTAACATTTTGAAATTTCAATATAACAATAACCATTAAAACTGCAATGCAATATTTTATTAACACATTTACATTGATTTTCAATAGAACATACGAGACTCATTGTTTTTTATGAACAAAAAATACGTTTTAAAATTGAATGTATGATCTTCCGTGATCATAAAAAAGCATATTCTTATAAATGAAGACTAATAATACATTGCAATGCTTTGCGTTGTTAATTACTGCAAAAAAACAGATTAAACAACATGTTCTAGTTCGGATATTTCGGTTGTGGAAAATCACAAATTGTCTTGTCTATGGATCGGAACGAGCACCTCAATGGTTTATACATGATTCGACTAGATAATCGTGCTTGTATCGGGTACATGGTGTATAGAATCACGGGGTCGATCACGCGAGATCACCAGTCTATCCAGATTGTAAGGTCTACCTGACCAAGACTCATTTTACTTACTAAGGGCCTGTTCCACCACTGGCTGATCCAGGCTCAGATTGGTTAACAATGACGTCACTGTATATTTTACACTCTCGATTGTTTTCAAACAATTTACAATTCGGTGGTTCAGGCCCTACTCTCTACTACTCTCTACTCTACACTAACAATTCATTTTAAACGACTGTTCTTCTAGCGACTTCGATGAATGTAATTCGAGTAATAAGACCAAAGTATTTGCCTTGTGTTCATAGCATACTTAAGGGTCCCTTGCCCTCTGCGGTGGGCGAAGTTGTCTACGTACACCAATACGGTATGAGGGCTCAAGTTACACCGGTAGGAATAGCGGCATATTATAATATCGGCTATAAGTCTACGATTTCTCTTGATATCCTGCGTCTTGTCTCTACATAAGCAAGATTGCCATGGTTTGTCATCATGCCATATCATTTTTACATTTGCAATTGATAATTTAACACATGTGAATAATAAAACGAATTTTTTATAATTTCGTGCGGATGAAGTCGCACGGGAACAGCTAGTATGTATAATAATAAAACAATAAACTTTTCAAAGTAATTAGTCAGTAAGCACATACTTTCATCTCCTACCATACCTTTGAGTTGATGAATAGCGGGGTCAATAAATGTCAAGTGAGGCGTTTTGTCTTTTTTAAAAGGTCATCAGGTTTAGAATTTTACAATTATTCAAAGTTGGGGTAAACTGTATTTTAAGTTCTCATGGCATAAGTAGACTACTAGTAGAATTCTACTTGAGAATAGTAAGGCACGATGTTTATGGACTTGGACTCTATCCAGCTTCCAGCCATTCAGAGGATCCCAACAAGTCTCGATATAGCCAGCGGTTCCCATACTAATGATAACTTCTCTGAATGCTAGTCACGTTTTCCGAACGTTTACCCCAAGCAAAGTTCCAATAACATATTTTATTTTTAAAGATAGCAAATACATAGTCTTTTTTATTTAAAGTTTATGCATTATATTATAATTAATAAGTAATTACTTTGTTAATTATCGGTATCGTTGACATTCTATCAATGTTCAGTTTAATCCGGTGTTTAGATGAATGGAATTTAACTTACAGCCTTACAAATAAATGCGGTATATATTAGAGGAAGTTTGAGAGTAGCCCCCGTAGTAGAGAAGGTAAAGAGTAAAAGGTTAGCATGGTATGGGCATGTTATGAGGAGGGATGAATCGCATGTTACAAGGAGAACGTTAGTTATGAGTGTGGAAAGGTAGATCAGTAAGGTAGACTTAGAGAGAGATGGATTGCGTAAAAGGTGACATGATCAAAAAGGAAGTGATGACTGAGATGACGTATGATAGAGTTATGTTGAGGACAAAAACCTGTTGCGCCGACCCTACAGGAGTAGGATAAGGAGATGATGATGATAAAACTGAGTATAAGTAACATTTGTAGTAATATTTGCTTATACTCAGTTAATTCCTAAGTTTAACTTTATACCGCGTTTATTTGTTAGGCTGTTAGATAGTTACTATCTTATAAAATGCATATTCACGTATAGTTACACATTCGCATCTGTCTGCCTGTTTTTGTTGTATAAAATATGCGCATACAAACCGAGGAAGTGGAATAAAATTTATTCAGAATTAAAACATCTTATTAACGTATTGATAAGGATCGTATCGACCACTTTCCTTCTTTTGTGACATAAAATATAATTAAATCCTGCCTTCAAGGATGAGTTTAGTAAACAATTAATTGATTTAACACCAAAACTTTTGCTTTGTATGTAAGCCATACTGTTTTTTTAGCCTCTATATATCAAATACAGCTAAAGCACAGTGATGCAATCTTACCATAAATGTTCAATATGTTGTAAGCAGTTTGTCGACCGCAAATAACAAGCTCAACACAAAACTGACGGAGTATTACATTATCGTAGCATTAGTAATTACATTTCGTGTATTACGAGCAGTAAAACTGAGTAAGTAGTTACTTTGTACAAGTAACCTTCTTAAGCCTTGCCAGAAAAGATTGATGGCGAAAAATATGCAATGACGAAACCTAAGTCTCACTTGCGGCCATAGATTTTTAAGATATATATAGACTAGACATAGGAAACAACATTTTTCACCGGTTCAAAACAAACAACTTCTTTGTACGGTAAAATCTCAATGTCAAACTTAACACGCAGTGTTAGAATTATTTGTAATTTTTACTATCGGACATTAGGTAGCGCTAGTGAGATTATATGAAAAATGTTTTAAGTGAATTATCAATTATGTTTCCTCTATGTATTGTTTGAATCTCTTTGCGGCTAATCGCGGTATATAACGCGCGTCTACTGGCGTGCTAGTCAGCTAGCGCAGCTACTCTCAAGTGAAAATAGGCACTCAATCTCTGGTTGAATATCTTCACTATTTTAATATGAAAAAGTAAAAAAAGTCAATCCATAACAATCAATCTTTTATCTTCATTGCTTACTTGCTTTGGCACGCGACTTTGTTCGCGCAGATAAAAAGTAATATATATAACCTATGTTATGATGTAGTTTTCTAATCGTGGAAAAAAATTGAAACCGCCTTAATATTTTTATCCACAGTTATTTCAATATTATTTTATTATTTGTATATTAGTATAAATGATTACGGTTCAACGTTTATCCATAGTAAAGATGATGGTAATTTATTTTCGCTGCTACTAAACGGTACATCAATTGATTCAGACTCGACCAAGGTCATTGACCGGGTGATCGGTTTTGTTTTCACGCGAGCAACTTCAACTGATCGTTGGTGCATTACTTTTTTTTAATTAAAAACTCAAAAAGTACTTTAAGTAGTTAATTATCTATCAAATTAGTAGTAAAATAGGCTTTTTATTTATATACATTGTGAACGTAGTTGTAGAGGATATTTTCTTAATGGTCTTGCATAACGTAGTAATCGGCATGTTTACATGCATACTTAATTCTAAACTTATTCAGTATATTAGATAACATTAACACGCTCACTGCGTAACAGGCCGATATCGGCCTGCCGCGGTACTAAGATGGTGCGGACGAAGAAAACTATGTCCCTCTCGGTAGTACGAAACGATTATCTCAGGTGTATACATTACTTTACATAAAATTTATACATTATGTTCCTACAAATATAGCAATTTAATCTATCCTAGTGATGGTAGGTCTAAAAAGACCTACCACTCACTGGCGGAAATATCATTGAGGGCGCATTTTAGCCCGCCGCCGTACCAGATGAAGAATTATGATTTCACTTGCCGCAGTAAACGTGTTAAGTGACTATAAATTTGTAGTGAACGTGGATTTATTTGATTTGTAAACATCGCATGGAAATTTTGAATGGAATCTTTGTGATCCAATCCAATAAAACCCGATTTTTGCTTGAGTTCCGCAAACAGATTATGATCTAGATATAATTACGTCTTACGTTGAACTTTTACTCTCGTAACAGTAAATAAACATATTGGCGTCTCTGTCATTTCGAAGTAAGTAAGAGGGATGCCAATGTTTTAAGTGGAAAATCAGAGACGTTTAAATCTACACCTTTGATTTTTTTACCCTTTATATCACTAAGATCTTGTTTCAAGTCTCGATTCAAAGATCAATTGAATTAATAACAAAAATATTAAAACACGTTACAGATTATTTTGAATACACTAAGATGTTTTTTAATCTATGTAAGAACCTGTTTTTTATCTATGTAAACTTAGGCATTTCATCTAAAGCATTGCTATAAATTATGAATACCGGCATCACTAGACACGTGGAAATACCGAGCTAGCTGGACATTTGTGCAGCAATTAATGCTCCAGACTCTACTGTTACCTCTGTAATACAGGATGTTTGCAAATGCTATTTATGATACTTTTAATTGACAGACAAAAATCGTGCGGCATTACAAAAAAAATGAACATTACAAACCTTAACAAAACAAGTTGGAATATCTATCAATAGATTAGTTATGAACAATGTTATACCAAAAATAAAGAAAATAATTCAAGTATTGAACGGAACTCTAAAAGTTAAGTGATTTAACAAGGTTAACTAATACGTAGATTATAAGTAATCTTTACCTCTATTACACAACTAGTTACTCGCCTATAACATGGTTTAATGAATCATAAGTTAAACTTAAGTTAAACGTAGAAAACGTAGAGAAAGTTAAAAATACTTTTAACATATCACCTGTTACATTTCCTAAATAACTATAACACATTTTGAGGACAGTTTTCCGAAATTCAAAAAAAATTATCAACACCGCTTAGGACACGTTTCTGTATTAGTAAATTTGTTATTTTTAATACAAAATTTACATACCTTTTAGAATTAAAATGAAAGCACAATTTCAAATAACACACGGTGGCTTACACATCGAGCATTGGTAACGGCACAATAGTGACTGGCCGGACACCCAAGCGCAGCAAAGTTAAAAACGCCGTGCGTACATTTGAATACAAATAAAATAGGCTCTATAACATCAAGCAGTAAAATTCACATTCACTAACAGTCCTCTCATAATACTGGTTCGTTTCAAACTAAATTTATGTTAATGTAGAGTATTAGATACGAGTATGTTTTTAAATATTTGATGACGTAAGTGTAATTTTCTTTTAACAACAAATAACGTTTTAAAGGTTTTAACTGAAATTTCATTTGTTGATCGTTTGATAAGGAAGCGGTTTTCCATTGCATGTTTCAATACAGACTTTACGGAGTTTACGGAGGTCGAAAAATAATATGAAAGTAGGTACTCTGCTCTTGGAATATTTCGGGAAAGTGTGAAAAGATGACTCTGTTTAAAAAATAATTTAGAAATACACAATTTAGAATTCATGTTTACAATCAACAATTAACTACTATATTTAAAATTAATAAATAAACATGTATGTTATGGAGGAAAATAAACAGTATTATGCTAAGTCAACCTTGATCTTTGTCTATCTTTGAAATGAATTGAATTTTTGTGCGTCAATGACGTTGAAATTATTAAACAAAATATTGGTGTGGACTATGACCAAACGACGCCGGATCGTGCAGAAGACTATGGATTTGTAAACTCCATTGACCGACATAAGAAGTTTTCGCATAAAAAAAAGTGAAACATATTAAAATAACAATTGTTCTATTTCTTGTATTAAGAGCGGGTGCGCCTTTGACTAAACTATCGCACAACTGATTATTCTCGCTTTGATTACTATGAGCTTATATGGAGGTGCACACTACTCGAATTTTGTGCAACTAAACAGTTGAATCCGCTGCGAAACAATCGACAATCGCACAACAGATAGTTTAGTCAAAGGTGTACCCGCATTCATTTCCTCACGTACAATTTAACGAAGCTAAAAACTTAGTAATTTTAAAATATGCAATCTAAGTAAAGTGTACATAGTTATGTCTATTTAAGTGGATGATTTAAAACAAACATCGTTGGACATTGCTCTCTCACGTCTACAAGCAAACATTAAACATGTGTCGACATTTTTTTTTATTTCCAAACAGAATTTTGTGTAAGGTTAGCGCATGAATCCATGACGTCATACTTTTGAAGTCCTGTCACACTTAAAATCGATAGAAAATTAATAATTTTTAAAGTATTTCTTCAGTCTTACTACTGTATTATAAATGTGAAAAGCTTGTTGCCTAAACGGCTGAACGGATCTCGATTATTGGCAGAGCCTGGGAGAATACAGGCTACTCACTTTTGTTTGTTTTTTATTGTTAATTTCGCTTCTGTCTGAAAAAGAATATTTTTGTGGTCATTATTTCCAATAATACATTCTTGAAGAATTGAAACATTGTTTTTTTTTAATATCAGCAGTTCTAACACTGGCATGCTACAACAGTTACAAGCAAATTTAAAAAAATAACTAACTAGTTCTACGATTCCATGTTTTTCCATAGTTGTGTAATGTGCGGTTATGTAAATTTTATGCCGTGACGACGTACTGCAATGGTGGGTAATTGTATGCCCTCTTTATTGGTTTTCCACTGATATATGAATGGTGAGAAGTTAATTAACCTTTTAAACGTCAATTAAATCATATGTCCTAGTAAATTTTTGTATCTATTGAAATAACTCAAAAACAACTCTGCCGATTTCAATTCTTTCACCATTAAAAATCTACGTTATTAGTAAGTACCATAGGCTAATATTTTTACTTTTTTTTTTTAATTTCACGCAAACAAGGTCGCGAGCAACAGCTAGTTGTAAACATAGTGATATTCAAACTTGAACTGAATGGCGAATTTCACATGAATCACTGCGCAGAAATAATTTTAATCAGCCTTTTTCGCAATCTAAATTATCCCCAGCTACAGAAGAAACGAAGAGTTAACAAGAGTCGGAATGCAATTCGTTTTTAGATAAGTACCCCAGCTTTATTTACATTTTTAGCAACTGATCCAACTAAACTAGGTTTGTTGTGGTTAACAACCATGGTCGTATTATATATCACGATCACATGATCGAATGTACGCACTCTCAACCATTGTTATTAGAGCTTTTGAATTTAATAATGAATGAATAAACAATTTGAATACACTTGACACCTAGGTGAAGATCATAATAAAAAAAATCATTCAGGTAACATAAGCAAATGTTTCGTAACGTCTATCTTACTTATACTCGGTGAAGGTCCAATTATGTTTGTTCTCGACTTGCTCGTATAGACAGGTCAGGGTTAAAATCATAGCATTATTTTATGAAATGACTAAGGTATTTTTTTCTAATAATCGTGAGATAGCGATTCTCATAATGTATTGTTATTTATAAAAATTACTTACCATAAGCTCTTGGTAATTAAGTTCTATTCTGCATCTTCGTTTGTATATTCTGTGCATTTCAAAAATCATATTTATTTCTGCCGAAGTAGTAGAGACAGACATCTACCGGTTACACCCAAACACTGTTTATGGAATGTTAAACATTTAAAATGTTCAATAAAAAACTACTTCAGAGTTATGATACTGCTCACTACTATATTCTGACCAGAAATATAATAAACATCACCATGTTGTGTCAAAATGTGCAACTTTGCGTTGCGGAAAATAGTAAGGTATGTAATAAAATTGAAGCTTCCCAAGGCAAGGATTTTTCTTTTTAAAAATATCTAGAATTAATATTGTGCAAGGAGTTCAATTATAATTTCGAAAGTAAATTGTGAAAGTTTGTTTTTATATAAAACGGTAACAACTACACTGTTTAAAACCGGAACGAATAAAAATTCGAACAAACAAAACAGCAATTAAGCGAAAGGGTTCTTTAGTTGTGTAATAAACGAAGATATTTAATGCAATTTAAAAATATAACGGAATTAAGTTATGGACATCAGAGGTAGTTTTGAATTTTATTCGCTACATACAAAATACAAGTCTTTATATTAATTCTAGCTTTAGCCTACATCTTCATCATAAATTGAAATAAAAAAATAAGTACCTTGTGTTCTTCTACACTATGCTCAACATCTATGCCTTTTAACGAGATCCGTTTAGCAGTTTAGAAGGCTAAGGGCCTGTCACATCACTGGCTGGTAGAGGCTCAGATAGCTAAAAAATGACGTCAACAAAAGGCCCTTACTCTAACAAATATCTATACATCTAAACTTTCGCATTTATAATATTAGTAATACGTAAGGTAGATGAAATAAAACTTGAATAATGAATCTCTACAGTTTATTTTCGTAATTCTTAGAGTAAAAATTTGTGGTTTGTAGACACCTTATTGAAATGAGAATACGGCTTACTTTTAACGTAATATAAATGTATTACTATTTTAAGTTCATAAGTTATTCTATATTTTATATTAATATTTTACTACAAGAATATTTATGAACAAATATTCATATAATAAACGTAATAATGTGCGATGACAGTTTTCGAGTTTCTCTAAACGTTTGTATATTGTTTGACAAATCTAACATTAAAAAAATATAACCTTACCCAACATAATTTAATCCATAAATATTCCCAATAAAGCAAAAAATCTACTCAATATTATATAGAAACTTAAACATAACCCACGGACTTAAAAGGAACCTTATAAAATTGAGATAAAGGTATAAAATCGTATAGCATTAGGAAATTAAAATTAGGAAATAAATTTTTAAATACGAAAATATTTTTACAATCATGTCTTACTTGTGATATAAATGTGATTTTGAGATTACTAAATATGGCAAGACATTAACTAAGCTTATCTACTTACAGTCGGGCCAGCGAGATAAAAATAAACATACAAACTTCTACCAAATTGTATTACGACAGCGAATGTAACCTTAAGGATCTGTCCCACCACTGCCTGATAGAGGCTCAGATAGCTTAAAAGTTACGTTACTGTCAGATAGAGTACCAAAATCCGATATTTCTATCATATATTTTCACTAAGGGGCACTACAAAATAGTATTGCCTGTTTTTAAAGGGTTAATTGGGGAAGGGATGGCAATATATTTTTAAACGAGTATCATAGTAGTGGAAATAGCGGGTTCTTTTGTTTAGAATTTGTTACATTGGATTACATTTTTCATCGTTTCATTGGTGATAATAAATTCATTCCAATACTTTATCTTCTAAATGTTTTTTTCTCGCTGGCAAGACTATACCTAAAACTTTATTTTTAAATTAAATTAACAATATAAACTATTTAATTATTGCTTAAATATTGCTTTTATAAACGTAAAATACACGGAAATTAACGCATTATTTTGTCAAAACGTTTTAAATTAAAACATTCATTTTTATATAATGGCAATTAAAAATGTGACAGATTCGAAACTTAACCTAAAATAAAATCTGTTTATAAATCTAATTAAGTACTGGCTGGAATGTTAAAAATACTTTTCATGATTTTTTTTTAATACAGTCAATTACACTGGAGGTTCCGATATAAAAAATAATTTATACCATTCTTGTAATTTAAAGTAATAAATTGAGTATTAAAATTAATTTATAACTTATTAAATAAAATAACAAAAGATTATTGTAAAAAATAAAGCTGATAAATACGTTGATTAATAAATCTAAAATTGTTGAAAATGTACATCAAATTATATCGAAATTCATTTAAAACTGTGTAAAACATGCTTAAATAACACATAGCTACCACCTTCTTAAAAACTAGTATGAAAAATAAACAACTTCATAGCAATTCCTTCGAAATAATACAAAATATAATGTAACTTTATAATCTTGCCGCACCGACATTTGTATTGGAAATCTTTAAAAAATATTTATATCAGAAAACATTTTTTTTAAAACCATTGTAAATTAGTCAATTCCAATAAAAAACAAAAAAACTTCAATACCGCTTAAAAAACATTTTTTGAAAAAAAAATTTGTTACTTTTTTCTCATAATTTTTATCCATACAAAAAACTAAAATTAAAAAAATATGAAGATATTTAATACGTTCCAGAAATGATATAAACATATTTTGTGAATGGACAGTTACAAATAAATCTCATTATCCAAGGACGGATATTATTCATTGCACTTTATGGAATGTTTTTTTTTTAACTTATTCTATTAATATTATTTAAAGTGACAAAAATACTATTGAAATACTTCACTACGTGAGTTTTTTCACATTCTTATACGAGTTTTTCTCAAAAGTGAATCAAGTAGATATTATTTCTATTTCATTTTGACTAGAAATAGTACGGCTAACAATTTAGAATTTAAATGTATTTTTTGTAACAAGGCAATTTTTTGTATCTGTGTACATGATTGATTTAGTTAGAGTAAAAAAATGTATTTTCTTCAATTCCGACAATCTCTGTAGATATGTATGTTGTACTCGACGAATGGTATCTTGTGTTCTGCACCCAGGTAGCATAAGTCCTAGAAAACAAAATGTCGTATTGTATTAAAAAAATATTGTCGCCAATTTTACTTGGGCGTTTCCCACCAAATTACAAATTGTCTGATAACGATTCAACATGTAAAATATGTGATATCGGATTTTGTAACCTTATCTGACAGTGACGTCATTTTTAAGCTATCTGAGCCTCTATCAGCCAGCGGTGGGCCAGGTCCTAAATATTATAAATTCGAAAGTTTAGAAAGTAGGATGTTTGTAAGAGTTTGTAGCCTAAACTGCAGAACGGATTTGACGATATTTGGCATTGATGTAGATGATAGTTTGAAAGAATACATTTATTTATTTATTTTTATTTATTTATTTACAATAGGAAGCCAACATATCACATGAAATAAGTTCTGTATGATGAAGAAAACTAATTATAACTAAAACACAATAT